GGTTCCTTTGTCCCGACATAAAATGGGGCAATTCGCAGAGGCGCCGATTGGCTCAAGCCCCAGGGGGGATGGGGGTCCGGTGTGATGGGCAGCTTCTGCCACCCGGACCTCCCCCCCCCACATCAAACCACATCAGTGCATGCTTGCATTCTTCCCTTTTTAGAGTTAATATTAGATGTTTTATATGTTAGTGATTCAGACAGTATCCAGTAACTTATGCTCACAATCTGTTTGGTTAACAGTAACGGATTTAGTGTTGCATACTTTTAACTCAGTGTCACCAATGCATTTTTAATATATGTCATTTGTTTGATGGATTTACTTAGTTCTATGTACAAGATCAGGACAGCTGTACTTCAACAGCCTGTTGCAACTAATGCATGTAAATACACAAATGTATATGAGAAATATAATGCATTTTGGAAGAAATTACTTATTTACTGTATTTCTTTTCCATTTTTGAAATAAAAAACTCTTTCGTTTGATCAGCAGGTTTTTATCAGAATATCAATGTAAAATGTTGCTACTTATTTTGATTAAATTTTCCTATATTTCCCAGGTATACGTTCACTGGAATTTACACGTTTGAGTCACTCATAAAAATCATTGCAAGGGGCTTTTGCTTAGAAGATTTTACTTTTCTTCGAGATCCATGGAACTGGCTTGATTTCACTGTCATTACTTTTGCGTAAGTTTTTGTTTTTTGCTTTTTCTTTGAAAGTGAAGGGCAAAAAGGGCATGAAATTAGTATCAATACATTTCAATTTCATTAAATGGAAATTCTTTTATGGATTTACTTTTGTCTAAAACAATTTTCATATTCGAATATGCATATTTTGATGTAAACATAACTACTGCAGAAGCCATTAGCACAGCTAGTATTAGAGAGGCTAATTTCATGTCCTGCTTATTTTTCTCTGAGCAGAAAAGGAGCATCCCTTTGACTTCATTCTCCAAACTTACCAATCTAGTCTAGATAAATTTTAGGCTTTCAAAGTTAAATCACTGCGATTCACTTCAGAGACATTTAACTTAACTGAAGGCTCTGAAAGCATATTAATGCAAGGCAAACTGCAGTGAAAGGTAAACATCTGACTGTTGCTATTTAATTTTTGCTAAAAACGCCAAAGCGGTCTTGATGAAAGACCCAAGTAAGTAGCATAAACTTTGCCTAAATTCTGAATAACTGTGATTTAATCCTACAGGTATGTAACAGAATTTGTAAACCTAGGCAATGTTTCAGCTCTTCGAACTTTCAGAGTATTGAGAGCTTTGAAAACTATTTCTGTAATCCCAGGTAAGAAGTAACTGGTGTAAGGTGTTAGGCCCCTTGTACTTCCCAACTGTTCCTTTTTATCCTGTCATTGTGTTTGTGTGTGAACTCCCCTATTACAGATATGTGACAGAGTTTGTGGACCTGGGCAATGTCTCAGCGTTGAGAACATTCAGAGTTCTCCGAGCTTTGAAAACAATATCAGTCATTCCAGGTGAGAGCTAGGTTAAACACTGAGGCTGACTTTAATTCACTGAAACAGAATTCATATTTTTTAAACATAAGTCTTATTTTTTTCCACAAAAAAAGCAGGAATCAGAAGATATTCGAATTCACTGAAATCTCTGATTCATTGCTTTTTAACATGAGCTCTTTCCTTTCAAAATCAGCCTTTGAGTTTAACAGATTCTTGCATGAGACATTGCAGTACACAGCGTGTGTGGTTTGCATCGTATGATGTCAAGCTTTCTTCTCCACATTCAACGAATATCAGTATCCCTGAAGTTTTCTTACCCATGTGTATCTTACCTACATGATGTTATGTGGTATTTGTTGTGAATATTTGTGTCTAAAAACCAGAACTGTTTGAAATGTTGTCTTAGTAAGAAGATGAAGGAATAAGATAATAAAGAGTAGCATGGGCATTGCATGGGGGATTTATTATCTTAAAATTCTACGATTTTCCAAACCATCTCCAGTTTTATAGCATTAAATGTTAATTCTATTTATCGTTGAACAGGCTTTTTACTACTGTCTTCTAAATCTAGTATGTTATAAAACTGATAGTAGCAAAGGTTTGGGGCAAGAGGTATTGACAAATAAAAAGAAAGAAGACTTTTATGTGAGATTCATGTACAGCATGAATAAAAAAGTCACTTGTTTTAACACTAAAACAAGAGTTTGAAATATATGCAACTCATTCCATTCACAGTTTCAAATGGACATAAATTTCAGCTATTTAATCATTTTCACAAGTGAAAAAGCTCTTCACAAAAATGTTACTTCACAGACATTACAATCATTTATTTGGGCTTCTGCATGAAATCTATAACTTTACTGGGAGACATCGTCATTTTTATGCTTTAAAAAAGTTTTGAACATCAGAATAAAAATTCCTTTGCATTTGCAGGCTTGAAGACTATCGTGGGGGCCCTAATTCAATCTGTGAAGAAGCTCTCGGACGTTATGATCCTGACTGTGTTTTGTCTGAGTGTATTTGCACTAATAGGGCTGCAGCTGTTCATGGGCAACTTGAGGAATAAATGCCTGCAGTGGCCTCCAGACAATTTTACTCTAGAAACAAATATTACTTCCCAACTTAACAGCACCATAGGTGAAAATGGTACATTGATTAATTCAACAGTGACTCCATTTGACTGGAAGGGGTACATTGAAGATGAAAGTAAGTATTGTCAGTATAATTCATATTGAAGTGATTTATGGCTGACCCAGTTCTCAGAAATAAGGAGGGAGAGGGATGATACATTGAGTTAAGATGGAGCAGAAGAAGGGTTTTCTCTCTCTCATAGATCTGCTCCAAAGGCTGGCACGGAAGAGAGAACAAAGAACCCGGTCTCTCTACTTGATACAGTTCTTTTTTTCAGCTCCCTCTGCCAAATCCACATCTCCCATGAGACTGAAAGGGGTCAAAAGGAATTCTTAAAATTAATAATCTTAAACATTTTCTATTTCCATACTCCAAAACAAGATCAGCAACAGACTTCTATGTCACTTCTGACATGTCAGAGACTTCTGACATTGCGTGAAGACTCCAGTGATGGAGTACTCAGTATTTTCTCCATCTATACATTCTTGTGCTTCATTATCAGAAAGGGTTTTTTTTCAAGGTCTAACAAATTTTTCTGCTGCAATTTAAGCTCATTGTTCTTATCAACTAAACTTCAGGCATCAAAACCAAATCATTCCCTACCATTAATCACTGTCTCTGAGGTATTTAGAGACTATTCTTATGTTGCCATGCCCTGTTCTCTCCTCTTGCAGTCGTCTTTTTGTATGTTAAGCAACCCAGATCATTAACCTTTTTCTCTTACAATTTATTTTCTAGATCTTGATCTCTCATCTGGATCTTTTCTTCTTAAACATCCTTGTTTGCAGTACCCACATCTAAGCATTTCTCCTCCACGAGGCATACTAAGTAGAGAAGAAGGATTATGTGGTAGCATAGTAACCTGTACTTCTGTTTTATATATCACAGGTTGTTATAATTGTAATATCATTAAATCCTGTTCAGCTTCTGGCCTACCTGCCACCTGGATCTTCTACAGACTTTTACTTCATTGAGTTCCCACTTTGTATTTGCACAGTTGATCGTTCCAGCCTAAAGATCGCCCTATTTTTTCAGACCATCTCTCCAACTGTTCTTGAACTTTTAAAGTGTAATTCTTTCCTCAAACTCACCACCATCCTTATCTGATCAGTATTATTTGCAAATTTGATAAGCATTCTTCCATTATCTAGATTAGTTAAAACCTTGAATATCAGCAATCTCAGACAAACTTCTTCAGAAGTTGTTTTTATGCATCTTTCCAATTTGATAATTTCCAAAAGTACCATTTTCCAATCAGTTTTGCTGATACGGAGCAGTCTGGCAAACTGTGAATAGACAAAGAAATGCCTTTCAGTATGGTTACATGTGAGGTTACAAACCTAAGCTTTCTATCCTAAAAATCAATGCTGCTTAATTCATTTGAGACAGGTTCACATGCATTAAGACGTAGCTGATGGCATTCATCGCCTCTAACAGTGAAAGTTACTTTTGGAGATAAATAAGAACTAAAGGGGAGAAAGGGAAGGGAAGGGGAATGGAAAGACTGGCCACAGTAGCCACCTGCAAAGAGAAGTGGTGGGGTCCCCCGGTGAGTCTGCTCCCCTGGGTATCCTTTCCAGTGCAGCAATGATCACTCCAGAATACTCTTCCCATAGCAACCGGGTATTTTTCATTAGCATCTCCTCAAACTCCCTACAGGTTGTTCCTGCTTACAGTGCTATTAGCACTAATTGGAACGCACTTTGATCAGGGCGTGTGCTGCATGGCAGGTTGGTTTTTAAGCTCGTACATGCATGTTATTAGGTCAACTAATATAAACCAAAAGCTACAAACAAGGAGTAGGAAAAGGGGGAAGAAAAAGAGATGAATCTCACACCAGAGACAATTGCTTCCCATGAGTAACCGCAGCAACAATAATGTGTTTGCAGGTATAACGTCATGAGAATAACAGCAACATAAAAAGCAGCATGAGAACAAAGGAAAAATAGTGCCACCGAGCTCCGGAAAACACTGCCACAGCAGCTGGTGTGAAAGGTTGCAGAGCTGCAACTGAGAGGCAGGATACAGAAATGCAACTGGAAAGCCCTTAGCTATAGAGAGGCTAAGGCACCTAAGGAACTGTGGAGCAGCCAGGACTCTGACAAATGAAGGCTAAAACTCTGCAGCCAAAAAGCTAAATAGAATCCTGTTCACATAAATAAATTATTGACCAGCAAGGCAGGGTTACGTCTGTATTGAGCACTACTACAGTTGCTACTGGAATATAATATAAAGTTCAATTTTGATAGAATGTTGAAAAATTCTTCAGAAAAGAGCAGAATGATTAAAGAGTTGGAAAACATGCTTTCTACCAAGGAGCTCAACCTGCTTAGCATATCAAAGAGAAGGTTTAAGGGGTGATTTGATCACAGTTGAGAAAAACCTTATGGAGAACAGAAATTTCATCATAGACATATCTTTGATCTAGCAGGCAAAGATATAACAGGTTCAATAGCTGCAAGTGAAAGCCAGACAAATTTCAAACAGAAGACAGCTTCTAACTGTGATCACACGGCTGATCAATGACTGCGATGGATTTCCATCTGAATTTCTTAAATCAAGACGAAATCTTTTTGTGAAACTCACTTTACTTGAACATATGAATTCATGGAGATGCCATGCCACAGGGTATAACAAAGTCTAAGCAAAGTCTCCTAAAGAAGACCTAGACTTCAAGGTCAAACTTAATTTTCTGTCTTTTTAACCAAGAATCTATAAACTCAACCTCTGATTTCATTTGATTTAAAGAAGATCTGAAGCCCCTTGAAAAACAAAGCCGAATTGAATTTGTTACAGAAAATATTTTATTGAATGGCTACTTGAGCCTTTGGTATATGTACACAGGATTTCGTATGTATTATGAAATTTATAATGAAATTATGAGTCTTATTATGAAGTTAATAATCTTGTCCTTGCTTATTGGCAGTTTCAAAGAGAAGAATTATCTTCTCACATCTTCCTGCTCTCTTCTTTCAGGTGGGCAAATGATACAGAAATGGTTCTTAAACCAGCTGTGTCACAGGGCAATAAGAAGGGACCTACCTGGAGCTCAGAGAAGTACAATGGCACTGTCTTTTGTAGGAGTTATAAAAGTTTTTATGCCAATAGCTGTGTATACTAGCGAAAAAGGCATTTAAGCCCTAATTTTGCCACTGAGCTCATTTTTGGAGACACCATTTAGAGAAACTTTATGTAAGCACTCCTGGCACTAGTGAGTCAATCACTTTTTTTCGTTTTTCCAGCATAGCAAATCTGATAGAATTAATGCTAGATAAGTTCAAGTTTGTCTTGGCAAGCTTGCCATGAGCAAATTTTTCTGGGAAATAACATCTCACAATCTATTTTGTGAAATAACAATTATTCTCAATCATTACCCTAGGTTTACTCAAACTGTAAATTCCTTTGAAGTAAAGTGCTCACCTACCAGGGATTTTTTCCCATTTTCTGATCAAATATAGGGGAGCTAAACATGCACCTTTGATGTAGTGAGGGACTTTTCACGTTACTTCGGTAAAATGCAATTCCAGGTTTTGCATGTAGTTAGGGACACATGCTTATACCGCTCAGCTTGTGTTGTTATAAAAAATTTTCCTATCGTGATAATATTTTGAGCATTTGTCATGGTTTTATCAGTGCACTCAGAGAAAGTCTGGGTGGCTATTATTTCCTCTGGGGCTGGCAAGTACAGTGTCCTTACAGGGCACATCTTGTCTGAATTACAGAACGTGAATACAGATGCTGTTTTAGTGGTTCAGCTCAGCCGATGCAGTACTGATCATGACTGACTGCTCCATGCCAACTATATCAAGTCAGGTTTGCGTTCTTCCAACCAGTTGCTGTTTTCCAGCATGTTTTAATCGTGATTAGCTGACATAATGCAGAGTAAGATTTGCCTCACAGAGGTCAGCTGTGGTCAGCATCGTGTCAGCTAACTCTGCTATTTACAGCTGTGTTTCGGCACAGTGCGGTTCTGCAATGCATACCAGCCCAGGACGACAGCGGCCGCACGTAGGGTTGTGCACTTTTGCGGAAAAAAAAAAAGCACTTCTCAAGGATATAGTCAAAGTGAATCTTAATAAGTACAACGTTTTGTGCATCATCTCTATTCTTCTAAGAAGAGACAGGGCAATGGCTTTGTTTTTTAAACCATCTAAAATGTCCTTTAAATACAGGATTTCTATACAAATTACAGGATGGTTGGCTACAGGGCGATTTTGTGGAATTTACCCAATTTCTCTTTCCTGAGGTGATAAATTATTTCATCATATACTCCTAAAATCCTACCTACTCATGTCAGTGACTGTTGCAGTATTTCTGTCCGAGTTAAATTTAGATGTAATCAGGGCCGTCGTAGCACCCCGCGGGCCAACCGCAGTGTGCACACACCTGTGCCAGTTACAAACACTTGTGACAGTTACCTAAAATGTGAGCTCTGCAAAACACCACCCAGCTGCCAATGGATCTAAGCGACAAACTGGAACCCTTGGCAATACTGATCAGAAAGTTTGAAATCTGTTACCAGTATATTTTTTGGATACAATTTAAATGTTATAATAAATAACTGTACAACATAATTTCACAAAGCGTGATTTAGTTCAGCGATCAGACTGAAGGGAGAATTATACATTTCATCTACATACAGCAGCATTGGACAGGATTTTTAGCACATTTTGGCATTTTAACAGTAAGTGCTGTGAGTGATAGCACTTACCGCAATTCA